ACGACACACAGCCTTTGTCAACGTGCATGGCAACATGCCTTCAGAAGTTCTTATGCTGAGGAAGAGCTCAACAGAAGCTGGTGGAATGGACTCATTAAAGTGGGAAGACTTTTCTTCCATCAGTTCATGGATGAAGGCAGCTCTTTGTTGTCTGGCTTCAAACCAACTCTTTCATTTTGTTTTAAATCTCTTCCTTTAATCCACCCTAATCTTATTTAAGTACCTCAAACATACCAAGTTTCTTTTCCTTTTGGGCCTTCCTTGGTGCCCTTCCTTCTCACTGGAACAATTGCCCCTACCCCCTGAACCCAACTTTACTCCTTCAGTTCAAAGCTTGGATAGTAGTTTCCTAAGAAAGGAAGACTTCCCTTATACCCCCAGTGAGTTGATCTTCCTTGATCTGTGCTCTTACAGATTTTCATGCGTCTCTGCCATGAAATCGCCATGTTCGTCTGAAGTAAGTTTCTCTTACTGAGCTGTAAGTTCCCTAAGGGCAGGAACTGCATCTGCCTTGCTCACCTCTGTATGAGCAAAGGTCACACAGATCCTAGTTAAGTGGAACTTCTTCCTTTAAAATCTCCCAAGAGCCAACAAGATACAATTTCCAAAATATTTTTCCTAACAACTGTTTTTTGAAAATGACAGTATCATTTTAAAAATATCTTTCTCCATCTTTGAAAGGCAGGGAAACTAAAAGCAAAAACAAGTTTATCTTTGCAACACCTGGGGAATAGTTGGAGAGAATTAGTAGATTTCTCTTTCCCTATTGCATCTTCGCTCTCAGTGGATTCTCCTTGCCTTAGGTTTTAGGAATCCAGCATGTCATCAACATGATTTCCACCGGAGGAGAAGTTAAAAATTATATTTTTCATCACCTGATATCAAATCATCACGCTGAGTCATGCAACAGACCAGCTGAGTCACCTCTACTGGTGGGACATGTGGAGTAGCACAATAGGAACTTAGCAACATCTCCATTCACCAAACCAAAGTTGGAGCCAACGGTTCTAACCCTGGCCATGAATCGTCCAGTTTGGCTGCTCAGAGCGATGTGTCAGGCTCCTCCTTGATTACGAACTTAGAGGCTGACTAGCCAAGCAACACTCCAAACATTACCAGGCATGGAGAGAAAGAAAATCACATTTTTCATTCGGTTCCTTTCAATCCATGTCATAATTCTGGGAAGCCCTGCCACCTACTTTAAATGTTCTAGAGATAAACATGAAGGAATGAGGTGCACACGCATCATTTTCACGACTGTGTTCAGTACAATAATTAGACAGCTGCAGTATGTAGACTTGCATGGATGGATTACCATCTTACCAAAGTGGCAGAATCAACCCTATGGAATGGGATGTAGGGGAGGACATTGGAGGGAAGTGCTGGGAAAAGTAGTCCTGGGCTGCTGGGATGCTGAGGGAAAACATTAGAACCCTGTCTTATTTTAAGCCTGGTGGGGAAGATCAAAAGACTGCAGCAGGTCAGGGAACAGAGGAAAGTATTGAAATGTGTTTAATCTTGTTCACATGGGAGAAATAAAGGAAGGGAACAATATGGTGGGAGGCTCAATTAAGAAGAGGAGTAAAGGGCATCTGGGTGCCTCAGTCAGTTAAGCATCTGACTCTTGATCTCAGCTCAGGTCTTGATCTCAGGGTCATGAGTTGAAGCCCTGCATTGGGCTCCACACTGGGTGTGGAGCCTACTTAAAAACAAAACAAAACAAAAAAAGTGGAGTGAAGAAAAATGAAAATACCCACTGAGCACATGCACTTGCAGGAAGGTTCTATAATAAATAACATAAAGGGAGGGTTAGGTAGGTAGAGCCAGCTATAACTGACAGGAGAGCCATGGTATCTACCTCCTATGTGAGCAGAAGTTGATCAGATGCCTGAAGAACCTTCCTCTGCCAGACTTTGGGCTCTTGTGCAGGCCCTTTACAGTCACTTACACATGAAGTAGGCTCCTCAGATTGGGCTGAATTCAAGTGGTATAAAACCTTTTTCTAGGATACCATGCAGAATGCCCATTGGCATCTCTGTGCCAAGCTAGCCCACAAGAATTTGAAATGAACTTGACAACTAAGGATCTTTGGGAAAAGCCAACTGGTCACTATTAAGCACACACACAAAAAATCCTCCCTTGCAAGTTTTCTTTGCCTCACTTAGCTGGCCACTGCCCTGTGACCTGTAGGAATTAAAAACCATATCAAGAAAGTCACCAGGCTTTTCCTCTTTCTCCTCTCTTTCTTTCCTTCATGAACAATTTAGTCCAAAAGCCACTGGGGAGGAGCTCTACAAGATGGTGTCTGCAGTTTAGGGTAGGATACCACAGTGGCCCAGAGTGCTGTGCTGGAGCCACAGCAGGTGGGTGGGGGACAGAGGTGACCTAGCACAGGGTATTGGAACCCAAGTTGGGTAAGGAAAATAGGAGACTGGTTACACAAGGCAAGGAGAGGATTGCTCAAACAATAAATACATCAAGGGTATTTGAACCAGGTATCTTGTCAACAAGGAGGTTACAAATATGGGGAGAATATGAGCCCTGTGGTATTAGATTAGAGTTAAAGGTATCAGGGTGAGCTCATGGTTTTCAAGATAGATAGGTAGGTAGGTAGGTGGATAGACAGACAGGCAGACAGACAGACAGAATGTGTATATATTCTCTAATTCTGTTCTTTGAGAGTGCCTGGGAACAGGGACAAACAATCTAATAACAATGAGCACACCAATCACCCAGATTTTGATTTCTAAATTCCATTCTCCACTAACAGGAATTAGTGCTATTTGAAGAAATGGCTCATTTCAGGGTTAGGAAAGTATCAGATGAGACTGGAACATATTGTGGTGTCAGAAAGTGAGGACATGTCCATAGGATAATGAGACCATGTCAAAAGGACATGAAGTTAACTTGAAAGGGTTCCCATAAGCTATATCTACACAAATTAAGAATAAACCTAACAGAAATGGATTATAACCCACTGAATATAATAGGAACCCACAAGACCACACTTACATAAATAGATACATGAATAGATTTAAAGTTTGATGAGAAGTAGGATAAAGATTACATAGTACCAAACTAACTGTACAGAATATTTATTAATATTTATTTATTATTTTAAAAAATCTTAATGTTTATTTATTCTTGAGAGAGAGAGAGAGAGAGAGAGAGAGAAAGCACGAAGCAGGGAGGGGCAGAGAGAGAGGGAGACACAGAATCCAAAGCAGGCTCCGGGATCTGAGCTGTCAGCACAGAGCCCAATGCAGGGCTTGTACCCACAAACCATGACATCACGACCTGAGCCAAAGTCGGACACTTAACCGACTGAGCCACCCAGGCGTCCCATGTTTGTTTGTTTATTGAAAGAGAGACAGAGGACAAGCAGGGGAGGGGCAGAGAGAGAAGGAGACACAGAATCTGAAGCAGGCTCCAGGCTCCGAGCCGTCAGCACAGAGCCCGACACGGGGCTTGAACTCATGAACCATGAGATCATGACCTGAGCTGAAGTCGAACACTTAACTGACTGAGTCACCCAGAGGCCCCAGAATATTTATTAATTACAAAGGACAAAGTAATTTTACTCTAGAACCTTATAAGACACTCCCTCAATCAAGTGATCCAAGTTGATATTATATGAAAAAAAAAGTCAACATCTGTCCCTGATTGGACACAGTGAGAAGAAATAACATCATTTTTGTGGTAGTCCTACCAAAGATGCATAACCTACATGTACTCATGTGAAAGCACAGACAAATCCAAAATGAGGCATATTCTATAAAATTGGGATGACGGAGATCATGTTGGCAATTTATTCTCAAATGGTTCATAATAAGAGATATTTGTACTGTACTTGGGAACTTAAGGTTGAGACTGTTTCAAAATTTAAAAATTAATAATCAAAAGAGTTACCTTGAGTCACTGTAGATTTGACGGAAGCCAAGTGTCAAGATGGGAATAAGATCTGGATAAACCAAGTCAAACGCCAACAATTATATGTTAGGGTAATGTTTTTTAGATAGTCTCCAGTGAAAGAAGTTACCCCTCAGTCCATTATGAACCAATACTCTAAAAAAAGCACAAAACTCCACACTTGGATTTGAGGACAATACCAAATTACGACAAGAATTTTCAAATGCTTGCTCTCAATGTCTGTACTTATTCTCGGCATGGACCGGTAACGAACAGTCCGTGGACTAGCCCAGATCACATTTTGAGTAGCACTTCGCTGCAGCAGGACGTGCAGATCTCTGATTGCCATCATATCCAAATGGGAAACAAAAACTACTGGTCACACTGTTGTCCATAATGGTAGCAACATTACCACCATACTTAACACCAGCCATTTACACAAAGTATACAAAGGGACTGCCCAGGCAATGGGAGGGGACTAAAGACCTGCCTTTACAAAGAGTCAATTTCTCCAAATGTGTCATAGGATAAGAATGAATGAGACCACCCCGATTCCAAAGAAATGGCACCGTGATGACTAAAAGGAAGACCAATTCAATCATACAGAAGAGGGACAAAAACATCTATGGTCGATCTGCAACCCTGGGTCATGACTGCCATTGCTAGGAAAGAACCTGGCACTCAGACGGCGTTAGTAGAGCACGTCCTCCAAATCAGATGGGTTTGATTTAACTGCAGATGCTAAGGGTCAAGCTACTGACTCCAACACAGTCCACACATGGGCTCACTCTGACACACTGCCCCTCCCTCAGCCAGAGGCAGCCCTTTCAAACAAAAGAGAACAATTCTCTACTAAACCAAACCCAGAACAGAACGATGGGAAAGGAGCCATTGCATCCTCTGGGAAATGGCACACCGTCCAGGCCCAGGGTTCTTCTGACTCCAGTTGCATGTCCCTGGATACAAAAACCCTTGTGTCAGTGCCCCCGACACTAATTCTAGCTACACCCAGAGGAGGCTCCACAAAGAAACACATAAGCTGGAATCAACCGATTCCCACGGCGTCTGTCTCTGGTGCGCACTTCACTTACCTGGAGCGGTTTTGTAGCATGACGTTCGGGAGGGCAGCGATTGGGCATTCTTTGCCCTGGGGCTCTGGGTATTCTGCAAGACTTGCCTCTGCCTCTTCAGTTCCTCTTCCCTTTCTTGAGCTGCTCGGATCTCTTCTTCGATCATGGACAAAGTCCGCTGCTTCCTTGACCTCAGCTTGAAGGGCCCAACCATCACATCGGACTCTTGAGTGGCCAGGAGCGAGGCTGTGCTCCTCAGCTCAGCTGCCTCTGAGTACTTGCTGAAATAGCTCCCTTCCGGTCTGGTCTCCTCCATGTTTATTGGGCCACTGGGCTGTACGGCTGGCAGTGGCTGGGAGGGCCCCCTTTCCCTGAGTGCCTGGTCTTCAGCAGGCAGAATCTTTGGTAATACCTCCCTCTTCTCTTGAACAGGAGAAGACACCTGAGGCGGCTCAAACATGCTCTGAGGCTTCTCTGAACTGGGAGCCCCAGTGCCAGCTTCCTCTAGAGTTGTTCCAGGTCCCTGCTGTTCTGTCCCACCCTTGCTGGTTTCGGACACAGCTCTATCCACTTGCTCGGCTATGGCTTGTTGAATGGCATTCTGCACCAGGAGACCAGCCTGATACTCCAAGGGGTCATCAACTGATGGAGAGTCTCCCAGTGTGGATGAAGGGGAATAGAAACCGTGATCGCTAAAGGACTTGGAGACGCCTTCTCCTCGGCCCTCTGAAGGGTTGTCAGTTTGTGGAGTCTGGGGCAGAGAAAAATCAGCCAGTGAATTCTCCTGGAGGGCATTGGTTGTCTCATTGGAGGCCCCGCTGTCACTGATGTTGTCCATGCTAAAATCGTTGGACAGGGTCTCCAGGACAGTGGTATCCTGGGACCTCACTGACAATTCATCCAAACCAGAGTCAAGCTCCTCTTGGGTCAAAGAGACATTGACTGACCTTGAAAACTGATCCAAGATCCCAGGGTCGTCATCCTTGACCACAGTGAGGACGGCCCGGGCACTGGTAAACTCCCCATCCTCTGCCCACAGTTTGGATAAGGGCCCACGTTTGGAAGGCTCACTGTAGGGCCCTTCCCTCCCCTGAGGAGCTGTGCTGCCCTGGCTTCCCCCCGCAGGCTGACTCTCCAGGGCACAGCTGGCTTTCTGCTGCCCCTTGGCTGCTGATGCACCACTGTCTTCTGGAAGGCCCCCGACGGAAGCTGGTCTCGAGATGGTCAGTGGCTTGTCTGAGTTGATTGACCCCAGAGGCCTATAAAAGGGCTTGATAGAGAAGAGCCTAGGTGTACTCTGGCCCTTGGCCACTGTTTGCCTGGAACTCTCCATGAGCTGGAACTGTTTGCGAGCAGCGGAGAAGTCTATCTGCTCGGTGACGATGTCCTCCTTTACGTTTTCTGCCGCGCTGGCCTGGTCACGGGAGGCCACGGGGGCCGCGCAGAGCTGGGCTGGGGGCGGCTGCTGCTGTTGCATGAGCAGCTGTTCCTGCTGCGCCCTCCTCTCCTTGCGCTCCCTGTACTTTTTGTGCGACTCCAGATGTTCCTCGTCCAGCTGCTCCTCGATGGTTTTTTCCTGGGGAGGATTCCACCATTTTGCCGCGATGCCAGGATTCTTTTTCACGGCCTGGCTCCGGATGAGTTCTCTCCTTTCCTTTTCCAGCTCCAGCATCTCTTCCGAAGGCCTCACTTTTCTGACACAGAATTGCTCCTTCTCATTCTCGTCGTCCTCAAAGAGCTTGGAGGGCTTCTTGTCCTCATGGAAGGCACGCAGCTCAAACTTGGCCTCCTTCTTCAGCGTGGTGAGCGTGAGCTCCCCGTCACGGCCCGAGCACCGCGAGCTGGTGGAGGAGCTGGGGCTCGCGGGTGCCTGGAGGCCGTCCCCCGTCAGATCTTGGGGCTGGTCAGGCGAGTGGCCGTTGGCTTTTCCACCCTCTGCCATGGCGTCAGAGTTGCTTGTGCTGAACTCGATGTGAGGAGGGGCCTGTCTGCCCGCTGCCCTCTCCGTGAGTTCTGGCTGGATGGCTGTGTGGGCAGGTGGGCTTCGACTGCTCGCCACGACGACTGCTCCAGGCTCTGGGGACGACGTGCCGTTGTAAGTTCCGTCCACAGCAGAATCGCAGCAGCTGGCCTCCAGCACCTCGTCTAGATAGCGGATCTCTCTGGCCACATCATTATCCAGAGATTCATGGTGATCAGCGAGGAGGCCATTGTGGGGGGGTGAGTAGAAAGGGGAGGGGTGGTCCATGGAAGGTGGGGTAGAGGTGATTCCAGGAACACTTTTACATTCTGCAACAGAGACTTCAATTTCCATGTTTTTGTGATCTGGGGGAAGGGAGCTGGTTGCAGGCTCCAGGGGGCTGACGCTGCAATTGTCTCTCTCGTTTTTTAGCCGGACATCATCCTCAGAAAGCTGGGGAGGCTTCTGAAATAAACAGACAACAAAGGTCAGGGTTAGCTATTAAATCTCTTATGGAGGCGAACCCTGAGAAAGTAACTGGTAACTCGCTGGAAGAAAAACTGAAGCAATGACAAGTTCTTTGGAACAGAGATTTCGCTTCTAATAATTCTTCGCATATTCATTTTGCTGTGGTAATTCATTCATAAACCTCTCGATGTTACAGATTCTGCTTTGTTTACTGGGGGTCCAGAGAACGTTCAATAAATGCCAGTCCCATTCTTAAATTTAAAAGTAAATTAAGATTCAGATCATTTGAAGACATTGCTCAAATATCTTCTAAAGTAGAAAAGATTATACAGGAATTGTACCAGAATTTAATAAAACATCTTAATAGCAAACAACTGCAGAAATGTAATAGGACTATTTGTGTGTCCCCAAGTAAAGCAAGAAGGTCCTTTGGCATCAGCGATTTTTATTGAAATCCTCTGCCATATGTAATGCAATATTTCTGGAGACAAGAAACTTCCTGGAAAATTTTTCCAAGAGAAAATACTGGAAAACATAGATTCCTTCAATGGCTCCTTAACAGCTACAGGGCCCCAGTGCAATGGCTCTTAATCGATTATGTACATTATAAACACTGTAACCAAAGCCACTGACTGTATAGTTCTGTTCTCTGGGACTATATCAAAACAACACTCCTTAGTTAAGGAGTGAGGGCTACTTTGAAAAGTTAGTAGCCAGCAGCAATTCTCCAGTTCCTAAAATGCACTATATGTGATAGCTCCAATCTTATTGCTCAATAAGAAAAACCACATCTTTTTAATGTTTTGAAATAAATCCTATATTTTCACCAATCCCATGTGATTTCTTTTTTGGCATTAGTAAAATTAATTTTCAAATTCTAGGAGGATTTTTTTTTTCATACCCAAGGATTCTGGTTTATCTCAGAAAATTCAGTGGCAAATTGTAAGCTTAATTTGAGTGTTCCTCAAGAATTTCACTGACACCTTGGTCAGGCTTGTCTTCCTCTCTTGAGTCTAGAGTATGCCTCGTATTACTGACATAGTACAATGCAAAAACTGCAAGATGGTACCATTTTCATTTGCATCGGTTGTGAACAATTTTAAACTCTTAGAACATAATATTAAAACACCACCTCAGGATGATTCTCAGGAGATTCATTTCAAAACACTTCCAAGGAAGGTTCATAATTATGGATTTGTTCATGAGACTTAAACAGCATGGGAGTTTACCCTACATGCTCTGCACTTCTGTCAGAATGCTGAAAACTCTCATGGTCATCCATGACCTAGAAGGTCATCCATGAGCTGGAAGGTCACCCATGAACAGGTGGTTTCTTTCACTCTTCATTTTTTACATTCTCCTTTAGACTTAAATCAATCAAGTAATATATGTTCCTTCTTTAGGAATAGGTAACAATGATTCTTTTGTCAATACCTTCTGGTCTTGGATGAACTTCCAGTCTAGTTCTGGTCTTTGTCCAAATCTGGTCCTTTAATACCATTAATATTTATAATGCTAATATCTTTATTTTATTTTATTTTTTTACCATTAGCTAATGGTTCTTTTATCTTTAAAAAAAATTTTTTTTTCAACGTTTTTTATTTATTTTTGGGACAGAGAGAGACAGAGCATGAACGGGCGAGGGGCAGAGAGAGAGGGAGACACAGAATCGGAAGCAGGCTCCAGGCTCCGAGCCATCAGCCCAGAGCCCGACGCGGGGCTCGAACTCACGGACCGCGAGATCGTGACCTGGCTGAAGTCGGACGCCTAACCGACTGTGCCACCCAGGCGCCCCTGGTTCTTTTATCTTTAGAGTGACATCAAGAGTCATGTCAAAGACATTTTTACTGCCTTTTAAAAACATTAACTAGACTTTCTTTTGGCAAGGCAATCGCCAGTAATATCTATGTCGTTAAGAATTACAGAAAAAATATTAAGTTTTATTTATTTATTGAGAGAGAGAAAGAAAGAATGAGTGGGGGAGGGGCAGGGAAAGAGAGTCCCAAGCATGCTCTGTGCTCTGCACCAAGCCTGACTCGGGGCTTGATCTCATGACCAGGAGATCATGACCTGAGCTGAAATCAAGAGGGGTATGCTTAACCGACTCAGCCACCCAGGCACCCTAAGAATTAAAGAAAATTTGAATGCCTGCCACTTACTGGCTGCCATTCAATTTCAAATAAACCTACGTCAAAATTAGCCCACTCCATGGAAAACTATTACTGGAATAAAGAGACCAACAAAAAGAGACACAAGGCACTGCTACAGTGAGAGACAGATTATCTGTGAGTCTCCCACCCCAGCTTCATTTAGTCAATGATTTACTGCTAACAGTCTTTATGGGAATAAGGAGAGCTTTTCCTGTATCCTATTTGGCTTCTGGGGGCGGAGGAGGGAAGATAGGAAAATGGTAGGAAGTTGCTGGAACTGAAAAATGGTTGAAAATCACTGCCCTATTGAACATAAAGTATTTTAGAGTAGTTGGCATAAGAGGAAAGAGGGTGGCATAGCATTAAAGGAATTTAAAAGGCAAATAATTCATTCTATAGCTCATTTGGTCATTAATCCATTCATTAAACATGCAGGAAGCTTATTTTGTGGGGTCATAATGAGATTAGCAGCAACAATAAGCTCCAGGAGACACTTTTTTTCTTAACAAAAATTGGACTTCCTAGGAAGCCCTAAGTCTCTTTTGGAGTTTATTTCGTCTTGTTAGGAGGAGTGAAAAACTTGCCTATAGTTCTCTCCTATTGTTAATCACAGGGATAGAAGGTCCTGAACCCCCTCCACAGCATTGCCCAAGAGCACGCTGTCTCTTTCTCCTGGGTACGTCCATTCAAGCGCCGGACAATGAGCTAGGAGATGCTCTGCCAGCATTTTTTTCTGTCTCAGAACTTAAAAAGTACACCAACCCTTTTCAAGGCATACTTTCTGAAGTAGCAAGTGGTCCAATTCAAAACTTTAAAAGTCTGAGAACAGCTTCTGACAATACATTTTCGCAATGTCAAAAAGACTACCATCAGCTTTTCGTCAGAAATGATGAGTCTCATTCCTTGAATATCTTCTATGATGGGTCAAACTAAGATTTTGCAAATGCTGATTACTGCTTAAAAGTCAGAGTTTGGAGTCCCAATGTACTGAGACATGATTCCGTTCCAATACACTTGTGTAAAAAATCTAGGCACTGGAGGGTGTAAACAGGAAAGCGGCTCTCTCTCCTTCCCGTTACAAGGGGGCTCCTCCCGCTTCTTTCCATAAATTCAGAACATTTTTCTTGACACTCTGTTCCATGTACTTCAGAGAGTAGCAGCTCTACACCCTAATCAAGGTAGAAGTAATTAAAGAGATAACCCTGACTTACTGATTCACAACCATGCCTCAGAGATCCTGAGTTTTGGGAAAGTTAGGCAACAGTTATAACAAAGGAGCAAATTCCTGAGTTCTATTCTCAACTGGAGGAATTTACCTTCATGCAAGATGGCCTGATACAATCAAAGCCATCTGTAAACTACACCAGGTAAACAGAAGTGGCAGGAATCTGGGCTTGGTGTCATTAAATGATGTCTTGCTCAAACCAACAAATGCTCAGTGCTCCCTTCGAAGATTAAAAAGACTAGACTTTTCCCTATGCTTCAGATAAGGTGAACCTGATTCCGGATTCAGATAAAGTACACATTCATCAAGGGGACTGGGAAGTCCTTCTGAAATCAACTGTGCCTCAGTGCAAAACAACAAAAACAAAAACAAAACCGAGCAAACTGGATTTTCAAAGGGTGCTAAGGGGCACCCTCTTTGGACTGCCCCTGCTAACCCTCCAGGTGGAGGCCTTGTAGAGCACAACACATAATACCTGCCAGCCTACTGGCTTCCCCAAATAGCTAATAGCTGGTCAGGACGTCTACTATTTACTTTAGAAGATGTGGGCAGAGACAATATAATACAGCTGTATGTGTGTGTTTGAACTTAGTTTAAATTACATTCAGAAGCAGATAGCCAACCTAACTGGGAATATACACTCTAGGAGTGGTCAACCAGGATCTAATCAGAAATTCCAGGCTCCACAGATGGCTTCCTTCCTGGGTATTTTGGCTCTCTTTAACTCCCATGGCCCCCTGAGGCATTGTCAACTGGCATCATTAAGGTGAGAAATGGGTTTTCATCAGTGAAATTAGTGGCTTGTCAATTAGCATGATAAAAACTGGAAATCTGGTGAAGTTGGTGGTGTTCAAATTTGCGGATTAGAGATGTTCTCCGTCCTTTCCTGAAATAGATTTACAGACAGAGTGAGCAGGGCAGGGGAAGGGGGCTCGTACACCCTTAGGGATGGTGCTTTGAGCCTAAAAGCTAAATGGCTCTTTCTCTGCCTTTAGGTTCAGAGGACTTTAATGGTTTATTAACCCCTATAGGGTAAGGGAATCCTGCCTTGTAAAACCTGTCTTCATTCAAGGTGGGGCTGGAGCATCTAGAATCTTCAGGAGCTGGGATTTCTTTGAGGTTACAGACAGTAGGTTTTATGCCTACTTTTACAAATGGTTGCTTAATAAACGTCTGTATGGGTGCCAGAACTCAGTGCAAGACGTGCTTTTATTATAACCCGGTAGCCAGGTTGTGTCTCAAGCTGCCGCTATTTACCAAAACGTGTTTAATAGTTATGCAAAACAAATTAGTATGGGTTAGTTTACAATATGGGTGGTGCCAAGGATCGCCTATGAAAGTTCTGCCAGACCCTATGCAAGACAATCATGGGACTCTCCTTGGCAGACTGTAACTCCTTTGTAAGCAGGACTTGTAACAAGATCTCTCAAATCTGTTTCGGGAATTAGAGTAGATAATGTGTTTAAAAGTACTATGTATACCGCGAAGTGTTTAATGCAAATGTTCCTTATTATTAAGCAATTTTACACGGAAGTGTAAATGACCATTATTAAATTCTCTCTGGGAGCTGGTTGACTTTTTGTGGGGAGGAGCAGGGCGTGATGGGGAAGTTTTCA